AAGGCCGTGGTAGACCGCGGAATTCTCGATTGGAGTAATCAAGCCAGAATAAAGTGCGAGTCGCTGTTAAAAACCCTCTTGATAAGGAGGCAAGAACTTATCGGGCAAAGTTACACCGAAAAAGGATCAATAAGAGGGAGAAAAAAGTCTCTGCTCATCCGTTCAATGGAAAATCAAGTTTACGTAATTCTGGGATCGGGAAAAGTCTGGTTAGGGCATCCAGGAATTAGAATCAGCCCTTACGGTTCGATTCCAATCCTGTTTACATCGAAACGCTTTTAAATCCGTCGGTTGTCTCGGACCGAGGGTGGGCGATACACGCGACTGACACCCCTCGTCTCCACTGGTGACAAACGACCAAATTGTGGAAGTAGGTTAACTCCTTTCGGGTAAGCGAGCTAGCTAGATAGCTAGTCCCCCTTCCCTTGGATTCTTCCGAAAGTTTTAATGCACTCGGCTCGAGAAATCTTGGAGATCGCCGAAACAATGCTTCAATATTTAACTATTTAGCAGATAGCCGCCAGTTAGAGAAGGAAATGTTGAGAAGCGACACCTGCTCGTTAATTTAAAAGGAAAACTTCTAGGCGACCTGATTATATCATCCAAGAATTAGTTTGCTTACCTGTTGAGTTGGACTGGTGAGAAGAATCGATGCTAATCGACCTTCATTAGCGCCTGAGAGTCACCAACCTCCATGATATCTGTGTCAGGCTATAGATTTACTTGTTGGAGTATCGGGTTGCTTGGGTATTTATAACTAGGCAACGGTAATTATGATCATTGGTTGTGATTTTCCAACCGATATCTGAATAAGCATTCATAATACATACCAACGACAGTTGTGGATTTTTATCAGTGGCAGGCATTCGCTTCTTGATATACTCGGGAATTATTCCCACCCTTCGGTTTAAACATAAACCTATCGTCCTCGAATTCAGTGTAAAGCCTATTGAGTACTTTGTTCTCACGAAATTTACCTCGGTGTAAACCGAATCAAAGTGCATGATTAATTCTAGTGGGCGCTTTTTAGTGGATTCATTTCGGGGAATTAAAAATTCACGCAAAGCTGATTTCATTACAGAGAGAATACAAAAATTTGTAAATCACTACGGAATTGTTAATCAGTTGGTTTTTTGGTTTATTATTTTTATAGAGAGTTACACATGATCATATGTCATGGATATTTACATATGATATCATACATGATCATGTATATGTAAATTGAAATATGATGTAAATTTCGTCGTGATGTCATGTATGATCACATGTGATATAAATTTACATATGATGTCACATGTGATGTAAATTGAAATATGATGTCAGATGATGTATATTTTGTTGTCATATGATGTAAATTTAAACATGATTTCATGTTTGATGTAAACAAACATGATGACATATCATGTAAATTTCGTTATGCTGTCATGTATGATCACATATGATGTCATGTGCGATGTAAATTTAAATATGATGTCAGATGATGGAAATTTTATTGTCATGTCATGTAAATTTAAACATGATTTCATGTTTGATGTAAACTTAAACATGATGTCATGTTTAATGTAAACAAACATGATATCATGTTTAATGTAAACTTAAACATGATGTCATGTTTGATGTAAATTTAAACATGATGTCATATTATGTAAATTTCGTTATGATGTCATGTATGATCACATATGATGTAAATTTAAATATGATGTCATATGATGTAAATTTTTTTGATGAAGTCATGTATGATCACATGTGATGTAAATTTATATGTGATGTCATATGTGATGTAAATTTACATGTGATGTCAAACATGATTCCACATATGATCAGAATTCAAGAACTTGATGTATAAAATGATCATATTTGATGTCATACATGATTCTACTTATGTAAAGTAAGTCTACATATGACGTCATGCAGACAACAGATGATTTTCTACACTAGAAAGCGATTTTACTCTTAATGCTTGACTGTAATATTTAAAAAAAAAAAAAGGAGTAATCTCTAAAATGAATTTTTAGTGGATAAAAAAAGAATTATTATGACGGAACAAAAATTTATCCACGATGCAAAAGTGAGGATTAAAAATGCATATAGAAAAGTTTTTAATTTGAAACATCGGTGTCACTTTAATTACTTAAAAAACCTCGACTTTCAACTAGCAGGGCTCCCCTCGCCGGCATTCATAATCCGTAGGTTTAAAACAATCATTTTACAGCGACATTTGAGATTAAAAAATTTACTACAGAGGAACAAAAAAAAATATAAATTCACGAGAGCGGTGAAAATATTTATATAAAAAATATATATCTTCCACCACCGAGAGGCAGAAAAATATAAATACAAATATAAAAATACAACAAAAGTTGAGTGAATGTCACTCAGACGCAACAGTCGCACCCGACGTCAACAAAGATTACCCTCGCTGTAGGGTTGTAGGGTTGGAAATCAGAAACCGCCCCAAGCGTAGCTCCTCGCTCGTCGCAGGTGTTTGCTTGGTGACACTGCCTCAGAAGGGAGCCTCTCAATCTCATGACATCCAGACTTGTTGAGAAATCCAAGAAGGGTTACTACTTCTTCCAGGAGGGAATCGCTGTTGTGTAATTCTCGGCCACGGAATCACTTCGGAATTAATTAATGAATCCACCCTTTCATTTCTCTATCCGCGGGTTTATACAAAAGTTTTGATTTTCCAAATTCTGTCATTCATTCGAACGAATGAGATCGTATTACTTGCTAGAATAATTAATAATAGCTAATTCGCGATTGTAAAAACATAAAAGTTGATGCTAAAGCCCCTCGAGAGCTGAATCAAGACAATAGAATACATTCACCGTGAATGGCAAAACCGGTATTCCACTACCAGCCACTCACTTCACCCCAAATCTTCTCGCGTTGCATTCAACGCATCCATCTGCCACTGGAACATAATACCTGTGATCTCGACAGCATACACACTCGTTTTATTAACCTCTAATGAGACTAATTAAGCAACAGGACATTATTTTTATTTGCTTTTTCAACTCTTTCGACAATTACTGATTAGTTTAATTTAGAAATCATATTGGAGATATTGTTGGATTTAATTGTTAAATAACTCTTGTAATAATGGAAATATTGAAAAAATGGTTGGGATATTTTTTATAGATAATTTAATTCTCTACAAGAAAGGTTTCTTATGATTTTTTTGTATCTTCAAGATTTAACCCAGAAATTAGAATTTTAATTTCTTCATTTTGAGGATGGTCCTTAAAAAGTTTAAAAAGTGATTTAAAATTATTATTTTGGCTAAATGATAAAAAATATCAAAAAAATGATAAGGATACTTTGAAGATACATCAAAAATAAATAAAAATCATCAACAGAAGACAACCTGGATGATCAAAGCTCCTCCTTTGAACCACAATTCGTAATTAAAAAATAAATCTAAGCCGATTTCCCCCCAGGGCACTTTACAAGTTAAGTTGTCGGGTGATAAATAGCCCCAGAATACTCTGAGAGGAATACTGGTGCTTACGCTATGAACTAGAAAGAGAGAGAAAGCTGGATGCCAACGGGAAAGGGTTTATCAGAGCGAGAGTCCAGGCTGGTGAGCTTGCTATCGCACTGACCAGTCCACCCCTTTAAATCGCAACATGTGAGGTTCTAGCAACCACCCGGTCCTCTCTTCCCTCTTCCTCCGAAGCAGGACCCGAGAAAATCCACAGAGCCACACGTCTGCATTATACAGAGAAGACCGGACCCCAAAAACCCATTATTTATGGAATCGCGGCCGCAACTCACACTCAGCCCGATCCCAACCCGGAAACTACCCGAACGAGCTTTTTATTTGTTTTAGCAAAAGGCTCCTCTGCCAATTCCAAAAATCACCCGGAACCTTACTATTCAAATTGTTAGATGCATTTTTGGCGGATTGAAGGACAGCTTGAATTTTTAGTGGGGTAGAAATTTTAATAGTGCCAAGGCAATATAAGGGCTTTAGAGTTTACTATCTATGACAAGACATTTTTATGAAGCTTGAATAAGTAACTGTAATAACGTACGACTTTTAAATGGAATATCGAGTGGGCATTAAGTATAGACGGCGATATCTCTAGCTAATGGTAAATTACAGCAGGTATATTCATGCTTCTAGGGGAGGCAATTGGTTTAAAATTTAAACGTCTACTGGTCGATAAATCAAAGCTAGTGTATAAGGGCTTCCACGCTCACGACATTGATTTTTTAAGGAACTTACGGATTCGTGGTGTTTTATCGCTCCTGGGTAGTGGAATTTTGGGAACAATTGGTTTAATACTTTGGTGGATGTCATGCATGATCATATGTGATGTCATGCATGATTATACTGTTGGTAGTATGTAAAATCATGTCTAATCACGTGTGATGGCATGTTAGATAGCATATGTGTGATTCAAGTCCATGTATGACAACATTTATGATGTAAATCTATGTATCATGTCATGCATGATCATATGTGATGTCAAACATGATTCTAAATCTGTTATTCAAAATCACACATGACATCAAATGTGATGTTAAGTCTACTTATGATGTCATGCATGATCATATGTGATGTAAATCTACTTATCATGTCATGCATGATCACATGTGATGTCAAAAATAATTCAACATCTGTTATTCCAAATTAATGCATATCATATGTGATCAAAGCCCATGTATAACATCAAACATGATCATATGTGATGTCAAGCATGACACCCTATGATTTTGCAGACCAAAAGCGTTTTCCCTCTTGGGCTTAACTGTAATACCTAAAAAAAAAGTAGTATCGGTTCGGTAGTTTGGCAAATGTACAACTTGAGATGAAAAACAATTAATCAAAATATCCCGACAGGATTTTACCATTTTCCAGGCGTTACAACTTTCTCTGGTCACCACCCTTGGGACTAGCAAAACTTTGGGTGAACTTTGGAAAAGTTTGTTTTTCAACAAATCCCACAGCCGAATTTTGTTACAGATCTCTCTTCCTTTTGCTGGCTCGTTTTTCATCGGAACAGAGAAATCTTAGGAAGCGAAAATCGAAACAGTGGTATGAAACCACTTGATAACTGAGTCATCAAGGACTCTCGAAGTAAGAGGTCACTAAATACTCGACAAAGGACATCTAACGACTCATTGTCCGATTCTTCAGTAGAAAGGTGGAGGACAATGCCTGTAATTGGCACTCCTTGAAAGCTACCGAATCGAACTTGTTGCGGTCCACCAGTTGCGATAATTCCCGAGCAGAGCTGAGTTGAGGAAAAACCCAGTTGGAAAGGAGTGGGTGGTAAACCCCATGGAATAGTAATGGAAGTCGGGCGAGAGTTCCACTTATTATACCTTGGCATTATGTAAATACCGGAAGGCTATTACAATTTTACAACTTACTAGCAGTAGCTTTATAGTTTCATCGCCAGAGGCTCATGATACTCAACTCGACTCGACTCGACTCCTTCCCCACATAAAATTCTTACTGGTCTTTTTTCATACCCGGAGCCCGAACCTCTTCAGCTTTTTTATTCCCGGCGAAACTATTTTAATTTTCAAAACCCTACACCAAGTCTGGCTCTGTCGCAAGACACATATTTCAGAGATTTCATTCTTTACCCATCCACCAACTGGTCCCGCCTTAGATCCGAGGTTAATATCCACCGGATTTTGCATCCAACTCACAAAAGAATAACATTTTTTCATTCTGTCGCCCACATTTTTATTGTCTCGTATAATAATATAATAAAATTTTAACTATTAAGAATTCTTTTTGAGTTATTCCGTTTAATCAAATCGTTCTGAGTGTTATTCTTACCAGCGCGGCACAGATTTTTAACAGGTCATAATATTTAATTCCCTAAAACACTCACAGATGGCGCTGTACTTAAGTTTTATTTATAAATATAAGCTGCAGCTTATTGCGGGAGGTCCTTAAAAACTGAAATTTATAAACGTTAGCATCAGACCTTTGGTTTAAAAAATAATCAATAGCTCGAAACGAAGTCTGTGAGAGCTCCCGTAGGTCGGAACTCATCAGTAAAATTGCCGTGCTTTCAAAAGGCTCTTTTGATTCCTCAATGACTGTAACTGGGATTAAACATCCAACAATTCCGATTTTCTTTAGCTTTTATTTATTATTATCATTCTCCTTTTAATCACATAAAGTGTAGTAGTTTTACAAGTAATTATTTTTAATAAATGTCAGCAAGATTTTCCTTTCATATTTACTAGGGCAAAAGGTCAAAAGTCCTCAAAATGAGAAATGGTTAAGAAATATATATTCTCAAGCTCTTTAATTCTCTGATACGAGTTTCAGCTTTCGACTGTTAAAACTCTTATGTGAACTTCGCTCTTCGTTAATTTTTTTTTTTTTAAGTCCCAAAGGTTTATTTAGGGTATCTAAGTCTAGCTATCGAGAAGTGGGTAACGCCTGACGAGCAAGTACACCTAGCAATGTTGTTGATGCGTCCCTAGACTTTTATTCTCGGAGCTTTTTACCCTCAAGGATACACACTGCGTGCAGTTTTTTATAAAAAATTTCTCTGCTGTTAATGAAATAGTATATTACGACCCTAGGCCAGAAAGTTGGATTTCCTGGCCGATGTGATAGAAGTGCCGAGGCGAAGCCGAGGCTATTCTATCACATCTGCCAGGTTATCCAACTTTTTTGCCGTGGGTTGTATACTATTTTTCTTGATCCTACGCCGAAAGTTAATTAAAATAATTTATAATAAAGTAGTAGCACGCACCGAGGCGAAGCCGAGGTGGGGGTCGAGGGGGCGGGCCCGCCCGACTTTTGCAAAACTGAGGCGAAGCCGAAGTTTTTGCTGGTCGGGGCGGGCATTAAAAAAAATATATATTAATAACTAAAATGAAAAATTGATAAAATGGCATTGACAATTCCAACTTTTCAAAAAACGAATAAATACATGCAAACTTTATTGTATTATTCAACTTTAAATATTATAATTAAAAAAATAATCATACTTCATATGAAATAAATTCAATAGTAAATTTTTTCTTATCAAATCTTACGAACTATGTTTGCTATTGCATTGAGTCAAAGTTTTAAATCAAAAGAACAGTTATTGAACGTACAGTTATTGAATATAAAATCCTCTAATTTTGTTTTTTGTCTGTTAAAAGTTGAATTTAAGTTATTGCTATTACAATCTTCAATGGTTTTCGAATCTTCATTATTTTTTCTTTTTTTAGACAATGGCTGGACATTAGATTGCTGCTCATTAGGTGATTGAACATTGGCGTGTTGAACATAAGTTGGCTGAATATCAGATTGTTGTTGAAACTTTAATTTTATTGCTGGCTTGTCAACAAATAAGCATTTTTTGTTTGCATTCGTCTCATTTGGTTTAGTATTTGGAATAAGTATTGGATTATTACTAGCTGTAGTGAACCCATTCTCTGCTACTCCAGCTGAAAAGAAATTTCTCGTGAATGAAACGTAATTTAAGGTGAATTAAGTGGTGAATTTATTTATATACTCACTTAAACCTGATTCGATTGTATCAATACTGAAATCGTCATCAAAATCAGCATAATTCAAATTAAAATCCAAGTTGTCATCTAGAGGCTCGATTGTCACCCCTGCACTGGTTGATGGTCTTGATTGAGGATCTGTTGTAGCGTTCTGTATTACAGAATTGTAAATCATCTGCTTGTTGTGCATGGAATTCTCTACATATCCTTGAGCTATAATATCAGAACGCCACCTTCCCAATTGCTTTAACATCTGGACATTCGTTCCAGAATCGGAGAGAAGTGTGGCTGACGTTCTACGAAAGCAATCTCCAGTGTATCGGTGAGGGTTTGGTAGATTGAGAAAGCTAGCGATTTTCTCTGGTGTTCCGCCTATTGTATGTCTTCCAATTGGCTGACGATAACATCTACCTCCCCAATACCTCAAGAAAAATCTATCAGTATTAGGATTAGTTGGCCTTAATTTAGTGTACTTCTTAACGGTGTCATAAAAAAGACTACCAATTATAAACTGCCCACCGTAGTCATTTTTATTCTCATTTATTGACACTAAATATTTGTCATTCAAATCTTCTACATCTTGAACTGTGATATTAGTGATTTCGTCACAACGTAGACAACCGCAGATTCCAAATATGAGAATTACCTGTAAAATATCAATTATTATTATTATTATTTTCCTGATCTTGGTATTTATTTTTACACAAAAATTTCTTACTATATATGTAAATAATAATTACCTTCATGACTAAAAATGTCTGATCCGAAGCTTCCTTCATAAATTGTATGATTTGGTTCCATCTGAGAACGAATGCTTTTCTAGGTTTGTAACCTTTAGCATTTGACTTAATTAAACTTTTCAAATTTAAAAAATTACCTATATTAACATCGTCGTTAACATTTAAAGTTTTTTTGAGCATACTCCATATACTCCATAGAGTCGGTGGTTTAAGTTTTAATTTAAGTTCTTCAAAATAAACAATTAAATTATTTTCTTCTGAGGAGGACAATGAATTTTTGTTATCCTCTCGCCACTTTTTATAAGTATTATAAACCAAAAGATAACGATCACTAGATTTTTTAGGAGTAGCTTCACTTCGAACAATTATTTTAGCCTCTGTGTCGAAATTTCTTATCACTTCCTCTTCGTCCATTGAGCCTTCAGATGAAGATTCTCCCATTTTTATTGTCGGTTTGATGAGCTGCTTGAGAGGTTAAGTACTTAGGCTTTAGTTATATTACTATCAATTCTCAAGATTAAAATTAAAAAAAAAAAAAGAATTTAAAGGTTGTAATGTAATTTTTTTCGTTTAACTTTTTTATTGTTTTAATTTTCACGAAGAGAGATGCAGCCATGGAGCGTTGTTTATTTTATAGTAAGGTAACTTTATGTAGAGTTTCATAGAATCGCACGCGTTGCGCATACGAAAAAGCGCACTCTAGTGGGAGCACCTCGTACTTCCCGCCGTCCACAAATGTCGCTGTTCCTGGAGTGAGCAGGATCCGGGAACACCATACTTTCGGCGGGAGGAGCAAGAAAAAAATTTTTTTTTAATATATTAATAATATACTTACTTAAGCAAGTCATATTTTATCTTATCTATTTTTAGGGGAGGTTTTTTCGTATCACGCGGATTAATTACCTATTCATTAATATTTAATAATAATTTAGGGTGTCAATATTTAGACCTCTGTCAATAATTGGGGCTTTTTAGGGACTAAGGTCCCTAAAAAGCCTCAAAATTGAATTAGAACAAACCTAATGTAAGTAATATTTTTGTTTCAGATGGTGACAAGGACAAAGAAGATATTCGTCGGCGGATTGTCAGCGCCCACGACGCTGGAGGACGTCAAAAATTACTTCGAACAGTTCGGCCCGGTGAGTGTTTAACAAAAACATTGATAATAAATAATAATTACCAAACAAGTAGCCTATAAATGTTTAATGTGAATAAATATTATAATCAACGGGGCTGAAGCGTGGATGAGGATAATGATCGTCAATCAGACACGTCGATATAACGAAATCCGTGGGTATATCTATATCTAAATCTATACCGCGAGAAGTGGTTTTATGTGAGCACGCATCAGTGAGTCTCGTGTTTCGGCTCTCGCTATCATCGTCATGATCACGCTTGAGAGTGTCACCATAGTCATTAAAGCCTCCCCTCGCATCAGCATCAGCATCCACGCGTCACAGTTCGTCGTTCGCCGTTCGGTAAATTCGAATCAGTAATTTCGCCACGTGCACCAGTAATCAGTAACGTCAATCCCCACCCAAAGTCATTGTCTGCTAAGCAATAGTTTCAGCCACACATATATATTTCGCCGACTGCTAAACAGACCATAGACTATCCTGGATAAGGAGAGGGGGTATATTCCAATTACACAGATTTATATCACTCGTTAATCAATTCGGGATTCACGATATTCCAATTATTTGCATCAAAGCACAATGCATCAACCTATATGGCTTACGATAAACTTTCAAGGGCGTCTTTCTCTACCGGCAACTTTCGGCATTCAATATTCCGGGGATGAAATATCTCAGCTAGTTTCGAGTTTCTAATCCAATGCATCGTTATCGATTGTTCAAACTTTACATTTGGACGGTACCGTGGCTAAGAGTTGGTCAATCTTTGGTTTCTCTGATACTGCAATTATTGTTTTTGATATAAAGGTGCGATTTATTTTAAGAATTATCTTTAACGAAGGCTATTTTTTATTTAATATTATTTTCTGGAGTAAATATGAGAGATACAGAAACATGATTGGAATCTATTAACGTTTCGGCGAGATTAAAGTTTGAAATTCTCATCAAATTTTCGACTTTTTAGGGACGGTCCGTAAAATAAAGAAATTCAAATTGTAAATTCGGGGTTAAATATTGAAGATATAAAAGTATCCTTATTATTTTTTTGGTATATTTGATCATTTAGCCAAAATAATAATTTAAAATCATTTTTTGCAACTTCTTAGGAACAGTCCTTAAAATCAAGGAATTAAAATTGTAATTTCTGGGTTAAATATTGAAGATACAAAAGTATCTCCACCATATTTTTATATATCTCTCATTTAGCCAAAATAATATTTTAAAATCACTTATTTATACTTTTTAGGAACGGTCCTTAAAATGACGAAATTAAAATTGCAATTTCTGGGTTAAATATTGAAGATACAAAAGTATCCTTATCAGTTTATCGATATCTCTTATCATTTAGCCAAAATAATATTTAAAAATCACTTATTTAAACTTTTGAGGAATGGTCCTTAAAATAAAGAAATTGAAATTGCAATTTCTAGGTTAAATATTGAAGATACAAAAAATTTATAAAGAACTTTTTTGTAGGAAATTTGATTCTCTTTCAAAAATGTTATCATTTTTTTGATATCTCCAACCATTTAAGCACAAAAAGATACCCTCTGAGTATCTTAGAATAATAATTAGTTAAAGTAACTAAAACTTCCTACGCCTAGCTGAAGGATGACCCACATCGAAAGATACAATCTATCGCCGACTTTCCCACCCCAACACCAATAGATCTCCCGTTGAGCAGCACATATACGGTTTATAAACGCCTACGTTGGATATAAATACGCGCGAATGAAGATAACAGAGACGCGTATTGTGTGGGATTAATTTATTTGGTCGGGAAAAACGCGCTCAGGTGAGCTATATCTTGCATATCTACATCCACACAATAGATATAGAACAAAGACAATTGATAAATGTTGAGGTGCATGGATGTAGATGGGGTTGATGTAGATGCTGCAACGTTTGCCATTGATTCATATCTCGAGTGTTCTTGAATACGGACATGAAATCGAGATTAAATTACTTGCCATTGTATTAAATACCCGAGTGACACAATAAGCAGCGCAACTGCCAATCGATTAACCACTTTGTTTATTCACTGTTTTATTGTCGGTATTAATTATTCAGAGGGGAAAATCCAGCGGGGAACCAGGTCGACGGGGTCACCGAATACTTCAAGAGCTTAATTATACCTTTTATACCTTTCATCTCGGCGATAGGGGCCGAGTCTGGGTAGAGGGGGGGGGGAACAGGTCTAAGTATGAGGATCAAGAAAACTCGGTTGAATGGCGAATATCTTCCTCTCTCTTGCCGCGGGGTCCAAGTGCCGGTACTTAAGGTACCCGGCTACGAAATTAAGAAATTAAGAATTAATGCGACCCGGAAGCTGGCGATTTTCTCCAGTGTTTGATCTTTTAAATAAAACGTAAAAGGGTGAAGGCTTTGTACATTTGAGATGTTGAGAAGTATTTTATAGAAGCCGAGAATATTTTATGGTGTATTTAAGGCTTAATAGTTACTATTTTTAAGTTACTTTGCAGTTATTAACTTTCATTAAAGTTAGCTTTTATTAATTACAATGACTTTGTTAGAATCTTAATTTATTATTGTAATTTAAGTTTATAAAGCTTACGCGTTCCTAAAAAGTCTGACAATTGTTTCAAATCATTAAAGAAAGGGACTAAGATTGAAATTTTAGGGACGGTCCCCAAAATGAAGAAATAATGTTTATATTTATAAAAAAAAATTGATGAAAATAATTAGCTGGGTATAACGGAGTTATCTAGCGTCCATTAAAACAAAATTTGAGGAATAATGTCGGGAAAATGTTAACTGTAAGCCGAATGCAGTAGCAATGATTGCTCGAGGATTAAACAAACGAGGAAACGACGAAGTAGGAGCATAAGTAGGGGTAAATTAATAAATTGCCGAGAATCCTCGTCGACTTTGTTTGGAATAAAGACCGGCCATAAATAACGGAGTAAAAGCACCCCAGAACTAAACCGGGAGCAGGAGTGGTAGTAAGGGTGGACTATCTCACCCTCTAGATCCCCTCGGTCCCCTTGATTCTCTCCCGGCAATGATCATTTCGGTTTACGAACGGGCGTTCATCACTGCTATAACTACACCATCAGCATCACTCCGGCGTTTACCAAGCTCCCATCCCAGTCGACAGGGAAACTGGCTTTTTTATCGCCCGACTATCAATAATCAATCCCGAACTACTCTGACTGAATAATCCGAGGACTTTATTCTTTGTCAAACTATTTTTATTTATATATTTACTGATTTCCCCGTTAAATCCGGCTTGCTATTCTCTGCGCAGCTCCACGAAATATAACTACACTTATAACAAGATATAATGTCTACCTCTACTTTACTTCAGAGAAGGAGCTCCAAGGTTACAAATGGCATGTATTTGCGACGACATTGTTTTAAATTGCCGTCACTTTTACGAAACTTTATAGTTTATCATATTTCTCCTTACTTTTAATGTTTTACACGGGAATTCTACTGCTGTTATTTATTATACGATATAAATTATTAACAATAATGCTTTTTCTGATTTTACTTATATTTTTATAGTAGAATTTTAATTTTGTTCATTTTAAGGATGGTCCCTAAAGAATCCGAATTTTATTTTAAGGATGGTCCCTAAAACCGGAATTTTAAATTTTCATTTTAAGAATGGTCCCTAAAAACCAGAATTTAATTTTTTTATTTTAAAGATGGTCCCTAAAAACTCTGAATTTGAATTTTTATTTTAAGGTCAGTCCCTAAAAAGTCCGAATTTTGTCTAAAGTTTAATTACGCTTAAACGATAATAGAAATTACAATTTTAGTTCATTAAAAATTAATTTTGTTAAAAAAAAAACCTCTAACAATATTAAAAACAAAACAATATCCCTATTTAGCCTCTAAAAAATCACAAAATGCAGATCTATTTAAAGTATCATAAAAATATAATTCTGTAGGTAGGATAAATGTAATATTATAGTTATCGATATGAATTAAAATATTAAAGAGAGTATTTATTCGAATATATAGGTTCAAAAGTCCGTTAGTAATGCAGATCGTGAAAGTTTAATAGGATTAAAATCATTCAGCGGAAGTATGAATGTAAAATTAGCTTTGAATTAATTTATCGATTTAAATTTTCTATCTAATACTTCTCCCTCTTGTTTTTGTGCCTACCTGAATAGTGAACAAATAAATTTAATTATTACCGTTTTATGTCGAAAATATACGAGACAAATTGAAAGACGCGTTACCACAACGGTGGATTGTATTACTCGGCAGTATTATAAAAATAATAATAGCGTTATGAGCTTAAAACGCTCTCACCCCTCACCCCTGTCTCACTCG